TGGTTTTTTGATTACGAATTTAATAACCACTCGAAAGTCTATCAATTTATTCCATCAATTTGGCGGTTTTCTGCTTTGAGCTACTGGAAATTGGTGAACAGTGGTTTGTTAGGTTAATTACGATTTTTACTAGAGATAATTTCTACTAATTTTGTGGTTTTTTCGTGTTGCTACCAATTGATGCAAAGATGTGCTAACATGCTGAACAGCACGACTTAATTTTTTTCCACCTAGGTTTGCTACGAGAGAATTTTTGTGCTGAAAATCTTACAATCTACTGTGCTCCTTCCAGAAAAAAAGTATCTTAAAACAAAGTACCATTGACTACCCTGAGACAGCCGAGCGTAGCCGGGTATGCAAGCTAGTGCTTTATAAATATGAGATTGCTGCATGCATACGAAGTGCATCAGTCTGTAACAAAGCTGCTCGAAACTCCATCCCCCCGCCCTCTAAGCATGAGAAAAACTGTTGTATCGAGTGTGGGAATTGTGAGGGCTTTATTCATCTTGATGGCAATTTTTCCATGCGGGCTATCCAGCAATGCTTATGATGTTGAAGTGTGAGACGAAAAGGTAGATTTAAAAATCGAAAAAAAAATCAAAATATAACTACACAGGACCTTGAACGTAAAATTCAATGCTAATGTAGCTTAAGAGCACAACTATGAACAACAATGGCTTTCGAATAAGAGCTTCATACCCGGGTCTGTTTCCCGCTCCACCCCTTAATTGAATAAGGAAAACAAGGCATAGGTTGCCAGATGACATCTTCAAAAATTAAAGGAAGCATGAAACTAACAGCTTTGTTTGATATTTTAAACTAAGCGAAGTCGAATAGTCCCAAATAAAAGTAAAAACTGCGGCATATCTATTTCCTGTACGTGTTTCGGGATAGAATGAAAAATATTAGTTAGATTCCTGAAAACGGAATATCTATAAACTATCGACTTAAGTGCATGGAATTGCAAGAGGAATCTTTAGATACGATCGTTTAAAAACTTAGAAGGAAAGTTGGGACTACAAGCGCATTGGTTACCCACTATCCATCGCATCCCATTATCGCAGTGTTGCGCCAAACTGTTGAGATTTTCCTAGCTGATAGTACGTAGCGACACCTTGATGTAAGTGAAAGCCATTTCCCCAACCATACAACCCATGCGGATATTTTTAATAGTTATTACAGTATTCATCACTGCTTGTAGAGCTGTTAGCATATTTTGTTTGATTCACACTGCAACACCTAGCCATGATACTAGAGTTAGTTAACTTAATAGGCATCTCACATTATGTTTACTTATATTATGGAAATCCTTCCAGGCACAAACTATCCTAGAAACATGGGCCAAGCGCTGTGATGACTTCATTTTCTTTACCGACTCTCCTATGTCGCCGGATATCCCACATATTTATTGGAAAGAATTGCATAGTAGGGATCACTCTTGGGAAAAGATCCGACGGATTTTCAAGTAAGTAAAGAGATTCCTCGGTTTTTCGTATTTTTTGTGATTCGTATTGCAATTTTTTTTCAGTCACGTCGTAGAAGATATGGAAGATGAGTACGATTGGTACCTAAGAGCAGATGATGATGCTTATGTTATTATTGAGAATCTTCGACATTTCTTGTCTAATTATTCCAGCAAAGAAGCGCATTATTTTGGCTACCGATGGAATTTCTTTGTGGTAAAAACGCGAAGTTTCTGGTCGACTATGTGTTATTTTACGTAATCCCCGTGTTCAGTCTCATGGTTATGCTGATGGTGGAGTTTACGTACTTTCACGAACAGCTGTTGAAATTTTCAACCGGGTTATGGAAAATCCGAAACTGTGTCCAGAATTGCATCGAGCAGAAGAAGATCAAGAGGTGGGGGCTTACGAATTTTAGGTAATAACTGTAAAAAATGGATCTTTCTAGATGCAAACCGCAAATCCTGGTCCCTTTGTACATAGTTGATCATGATTATCTCTATAACATGCTTGCACTAAACACAACATCGTCTCAGAATTCCTGAAAACCTAATAATGTTTTGGCACGTAATGTTTTCTGCACTCCTCGGATGATTTAGCTTTTACACGAATAGTCGATGAACTGGCCCTTTGAACTTGTACTTTTTATCCAATAAGCAGTGGCGCCTAAATGGCATGGATCTACTGAGGAAGTTGAAAGATCCGTAATCTAATGGAATTCCATGTAATACACTGTTGCCAACATTTCCAATTTTTTACGTTCCCTTATCATTCGGATGTTGAGTAGGCTTCACGAAGTATCTTTCACAGTTGAAATGTGGCAGTCAATCTCGCATGAGACCACTTCTTTAATCATCTCTCATCGTGAAATGACAGAATGACGCTGGTGAATACTATTAAGGTTGCTCAAACTCAAAAAATTCCAGAAAGCTGAAAGGCTTTGGCGGCGTAAGTCATTTAGAGAAAGAAGCCTTCTTC